GCTAGCTCACATCATGCATGCTGCTGCAACTAGTGCTGAAAGCATGTTGTGATATTCTTGGATTATAACTTGGGTTTTGTGCAGTAGTACAGTGAATCAGGGTTGGTATCGGCATAAGTCGACAACATGGCTGTTATTATGTGTATGGCAGCCCCTTTTTTGTGAAGGTGACAGATATTGTTCACTGAAGCATAGTGTTGTTTGATTTAAGCTTTGATTTGAAGAATAGGATTGCAGCACCTCGCATAAGCAACCTAGCAGCAAAGCACTTCAACGTTTTTTATCAGTGGAGTAGGTCACTGGTGAAGAGCAACTAGAGCTGTTTAACTGAGTGACTCCACATAGGAGACAAGGTGAGGGTGCTGGTCAAAGAGTTCTTCAGGACAACAAGTCATTTCGCAGCACAACACAGGTACAAACATGTGTCCTCTTTATTAAACCTTTACTATGGAGATGATTCAGCCCAGGCCTTAACTAAACCACATTTGGCCACAGTTGTCCCTTGCTTTCCCTTGCACCAAAAATGTGCCTGCAGCAAGATGTATAGTGCAGTGCCGGAGGCGACCGTGGAGGAACTCTACAACTGCTATGGCGGTGTAGCCCGGTACGTGCTTCAATGTCCGTTCGAGAACCCCAGCTGGGGGTTGCCTAGGCTGCTGCAGCCACTGACCAGAATCCTGGCTACTTGCAACGTTCAACAGGTGAACCATTGTAGTTTGTTAGTCCTCTGCCTGAACTTCATGTCGTTTTAGGTCACTGCCTAGTTTTCGCCTGCATTGCCTGAGTTTTCAATGTTGATGTTCCTTCCATCCAGTAGAAACTCATTCTGTTTTTTCACACTGCGGCTGAGCACCTATGTCCTCCCATGTCCTGCTGACGTTTCATTTTTTGGCGAGTTGTACCCTGCCTTTCACATGCAACACACCTGTGGCCTGGCCTGCCTCCCTGGTTGCTCCCATCACATTAGGTTCGGGCGGCCATGGATGCCATCGACATGGGACCTGAGGCGAGCCATCGCCTGGTCCATATTGTGCCTTACGACAACTTCAAGGAGAAGCGGCTAACGTTTGCTTCTGATTGGGTGGCTGAGGAGTTCACCAAACGGGCTTGGATAGATGAGCAGGATCAAGTGAAGTCTCTGATGGAATACAGCGCCAAAGCAGTAAAGGGGATACTTTTTGAGAAGGTTATGCATGGTGTACTGGCGATGGGCGGCAAGTTTGATGTGGTGCCATTGCACCCGGAGACTCTGGAGCGAGGCGAGGAGGAGGAGCTGGACATCCAGGCCTGTACAGAGTCTCTTCGCTTCACAGATGACGAGGCCAGTGATATGATGAGCAGTATTAAGAACATGTACTTGAGGCCCATGTCCGGCAATTTCCCCGTCATTGATGCCCTTAAGGTGCCGGAGATGCACCTTTTCCAGATGACTATTTCGCGTAGCAAGGTACTCAATGCTGATGAACTTGAAAACGTGCTCAAGCGACTGGGCATCCCTGCACCGGGCCAGGAGGGCTGCCAGCCCAGCCTCTACTTTGTGGTGCATTCTGGCGTGTACAACAAGTTTAAGGTCCGGGCAGCAACAAGGAAGCTGAAGTCCGGCAAGGAGCGAAAGGCGGCCTGGCCGCCCTACCCCAAAGAGAAGTATGTGCGGTCAGCTAACACCCGGTTGTACATTATGCGTGGCACATACAGGCGGACCCTTGGGCCTTCGGCTTGTTTGGGCTCGTTATTCCG